CAGAAGAAAAAAAAGGAGGGGTGGCGGTATACATCAAAGAGGGGATAATAGCTAAACATACTGTATATATATATATATATATATATACACAAGAGGAAGAATATTAATAATTGAAATATTAATGGGTCAAAAAATATTTTGTTAGTTGTTTTATATGCGCCCATTAAGAACCAAAGGGATTTTTATAAAAATGTGTATGATAAAATAATAGAAATAGGGAATTACAGTGTTTGTTTGATTGGTGACTATATTGCAATAGTGGACATTAAAAAGGATTATGCAATAACCAAAAAACAAAAATAAAAAGTAATACCTTCCCAAAAGTTTTTTTTGAAATGGCAGAGGTTGTGGCACAATGTTACCTGTCTCCAGCAAGGGGAGAGAAAGAGGACAAAGCCCCAACCCAAGGTGATCTCTGAGTTTGAAATATACAGATTTTGTTCTTCCTGAGCATAGATTACATCAATTTGGAAAGAGTTTCACAAGTATATATTTCTAGTGCTTCAGAGAGGGGAATTTTAACAGGACATTCATGGTGACATGACAGGTTACCCACAATATAGAGTTTGGTCTTATGTACAATGGCTCAAATTTTCTTGAGCACTACCATAACTGAGGTCTGCTAAATTCCAGTTCCATAGATGCAACAGCTAAAATCTGTGGTTATGGAGGGGCAGATAGAAAGAAAAAAGTAGAACATAGTGACACCTTCCTTTTCTGTCTTTCTTCTATAAGATATCTGTCTTACATCTTATATTAGGACCTATGCATACTTGGATGAAATCTGCCACGGTCTCTGGGATACCTTTTCAAATTAGTCAGCAAAGCCTCTTTTATTCCATACCACATCCTGGCTTAACAGTTGAAACTTAATAGCATTCTTCAGAAATGAATAATTGCTTTGTGGAAAGTGATAGATTTCACAATGGGCAGTCACTTGTTTGACTGGAATGTTTAAGTTGTAGATGTGCAGATGTAGGCTGTTCTGAATCAGAAAGTTCCTCATTTTACATCTCCCCTGATTATGTGCTGCTTATAAAACTTGTGTTTGCTCATCAAGGAAATAATCTGGTCTAAGGGAAATGTAATGTTTATATAGAGTGAGAGAGGCAAAAAATTTGCTTGAATTCTGTCATATTTCTAAGGTTGTGGTTCCCAAACTGTTGCAGTGCCACAGGGCACTGCAGTGAACTCACAGTTCCTGGATCTTGGAATATTTAAAATGATTGCAGTGTCCATTTGTGAAGCTACAGTAGGTTTTGTGACTTCCATTTGTGTCATTATATCCTTGCTGTGAAGCAAAAAAAGTTTGGGAACCTCTATTCTAAGACAAAGAGGCTAGTATTAATATTGAAAAGCTATTAACAGTAGCTTTTCCATCAACAGCTACATGATTAACTAAAGTTTCTGAAACTGGACAAAGACATTAACAACTTGATCAACTTTTAGCAGGTTGTAAGACTATCTGTAGTTGCAGTTTAATCCTGGGTCTGTAGGCAACTTGTCTCTCGACAAGAGTTGGGAAGCATCATGCCAGGACATGACATCACAATTTAGCTTTCTAACCACAATACTTTAGCTTTCTAGCCACAATACTTTATTCAGCAATTTGCTTATTTTGGCCAAAAACTCTCAGATACACATTGATCTATATAAATCAAATCAAACTTATATTACTGTCTTTAGGCAGAGAACAGTAAAAATACATAAACCTGTAATTATTAATAAAACCAAAAATATGTCTTAAGTCTTCATTTGTTCTAATCTTAATCTTTATTGTAGACAAGAACAAGGCCTTATAGACAAGAGATTATTTCCCCTCTGCAGTACAATGAAATCAAAACCTAGGGCTGCATTCTAGAGTGTAAACCCTTGAGGTTTTCCTCTTCTGTGCTTCTGCTTGGACATTCTCTTGATGTGGAAGGCAACTCAATTATATTTTATATAATAGTTATCTCTAGTCTGGAAATCACTAGATGCATTCATAGGTTTAGAACTGTACACTGAGATTGACTGAAATCTGAGGATTTCTTTTCAGCAATTTGATTGTCCATCATTCTTTAATAAGCATTTTATGATAGGAATGGATGTGATGAAGGAACAGACAGTAAAAAAGAAGTCATATTAGTTTGTAGCAGTCGTGTATTTCCATGGAGCATGGAAAGACAAGCAATGTAATTATATTACTTTGGGAAATCTTTCATGTCTTTGCCGCAGGTGTATCTTCAGATTTCTTATCTTTTCATCCAATCCTTAATTCAGTCTTTTCTCATTCCAATGCATTACTTCGATTACCTCATTCTACTTCTAGAAGTTTCATGTATTGTTGCAATTGTCTGTGCTGTATCTCTCTGGAACTTACTTGTAGATCTAATTTTACTTCCCTACCTGTTATTCTCCTTGCTCAATTTTGGCCCTCATTCTACAGGTTGTTTTATTTTAAATTGAGTTTTCAGTTCTGTGAACCTGTTCTTAATCATTGTGTGCAAATAAATCATATAATTTACTTTGCTGTTTGATTTCACTGCGATCTTTTTACTTAATGGGTATTGGGTGTGAATTCATCTGTAATTCAGACAACACAATCATGTTAACGTAACATGAGGTACCTGTTAGAGCTGAAACTGACACTGTTCACCCTTATCCAATCTATTTGTCATTAAAAAGAAACTGGTTTTTAATTGTGTACACCTCTGTATATGAATAGTATTTTGGAGCAACCAACTCAACTCCAATATTTTGATATGAAGTGATAAAAAATTACAACTATAACAATAGAATGTTGCATGTAATTCTCATAGTTATAGATTCCTCACCCTCAGTACCTGATATCAGCCACCCAATTTTTATTTCAAAGAGGAATATTTTTGAAAAGCAAACAGCAGCAAATGCAATGGAGCACAGGTGTGGAAACTAAGTGTCATCCCAGAAAACCCTCTAATAAGAAGGAGTATATGCTAGTCATTGTCTTGAAAGAGACAGTAGTATTTCTATAGCAAATGTTGGAAGTAGCAGGCAGAGGTATCTCAGATATCTTCTTTAATTCTTTCTCATTACTCTTGTGGTAAAGGCAGTGATTTTGAATTTCAGGATAAAAGTTGGGATTTTATAATGGGCCACTTCATTGCATTTACAATACCTGTCTCTACAGGTAGTCCTTGACTTACAACAGTTCATTTAGTGACTATTCAAAGTTACAATGGCACTGAAAAAAGTGACCTATCACCATATTTCACACGACCGTTGCAGCATCCCAATGATCACTGATCAAAATTCAGATGCTTGGCAACTGGTTTATATTTATGATGGTTGCAATGTCCTGGGGTCATGTGATCATTTTTTGTGACTTTCTGACAAGCAAAGTCAATGGGAAAGCCAGATTCACTAAACAATCATGTTACTAACTTAACAACTGCAATGATTCACTTAACAACCGTGGCAAGACAGATTGTCAAATGGTGCAAAACTCACTTAACAAAAGTTTCACTTAGCAACATACATTTTGGGCTCAATTATGGTCATACTTCAAGGACTACCAGTATTGTAAAAAAAACTTAAACAAAGAAAGGGAACATTTCTGTCTTGCAAGGAGCTAAGAAATAAGAAAAATACTGTTGTAGAATAGAAGGAATGTAAAAAGTTCTTCTCTTTGCTTATTTTTTTGCCCAATAAACAAAAATGGAAATTTCCAGTTAAACATGGAACCAGGAGATAGTAGATTTAAAGAGTGAAATAGATCCCCATCTGTACTACCATTGGATGATAAAAATTTGGCCAGACGGAGTTTGTGTAAATTCAGCTGCTCAATAGAGCTTGAGTCTATTATTTTGCTTGTAGATTATGCATAGATATCTTGTATTATTTAAGCACAACAATTATACCGCCCCAGGATAGCAAAAGAAAGTAATGACTCAGTGATAGAGGACAAATCCTTCACCTGATATTTGGACCATGAGTCAAGTGCTCTGCCTAAATTAATTGGAATTATACACACAAGATATTAGGCAGGATTCATCATTTTTCCTTGTGATTAGCTGTCCTAAAAAAGGACAGTGATTCAACACTGCATCTTGAACTATGCCATTCAAGTATAATACCACAATGCAAATAAGAATAAGAATTATATTTCTTGGCAGATCAGGGATTGCTTGGTAAAAACAGATCATTAGTAAAGAACAGGCATGAAACTTCCCTGTAATGTATTACAGAAAGAGTGTAGTGTCAGAAATCAGTTGGAAAATATTTATTCTTCTTCACATTAAATTTGGCAAGATATGTAAGCTTAGAAGGGTGTCTGTGATTGCTAATTTTTTCAGGTGACATTTTTTTAAAAGTAAGAATCATAATCCAAATATGAAAAGGCTACTATTTGCAGATAGGGCAGATAGGCTTTTCTTTAGAAAAGTCTTATGATTTTTTAAACCAAATAATAAAGTACACAAATTTATTGTGAGCTGATGAACCATCAGAATAAAAGAAAAGTAGATCACAACCATTCTGTCCGAAAGCTTAATACTATAATATTAGTTATATGTTAATAATAATCAGTTATAAACATAGGATTTCAGATTTCTAGTCTCTTGTCTGAAGCAAACTGAATGTTTTCTGAATTACTGAATTGGATATCTGACTGTAATGATAAATTACCTTTACTCAAAACTCAATGTTTTTTTTAATTTATCCATTGATCTGTTTTTAATTTCCAATGGAAAGTTTTTAGTAGCTCTTCTGTATACCCATTATCTCTTGGATATCACTAAATCAATTAAATGAATGATATATTTGACTTTAAACACTTATGTTGATCCGCAACATAATTATATTAATATATTGAATTTGAAGATATTTTTGTCATTTGGTTTTAGTAGGAAAACATGGTATTTGTTTAAAACACTTAAAAGACACAATGTATTTTTTTCTTCTCCACAAATGTTCTGTCATTAATCCCAGTTCTGTTTTACACAACTCATTCTAGTACTTGACATGTGTTTGTTTCTTAGGCCAACGTGTAAAACCATTCAAGAACAAGGCGATTTCTGCAGTGCCTGATGACAATTTTTGATATTCCACACACACAAAACGTTCTATCTCCATGTTTGGAGCAATAGTTGTGATGAATCCTAGTCTTGGTCGGATTCTCAGAAAGGGTCAGAAGGTGCGTTGATGAGGAGAGAGTCAAAACTACTGAAAGATGCTCCAGCCTTGGTTTGTTATCAAAGAACAACAGGTGTGTACAAATTCAGGTAGTTGTAGTAAAATTTAAGCTATCAGATTGTTTCTTAAACATATTTTATCTATACTTTCATGAAAGTATTTGTTAAACTGCTTTACCCCACTAATGAGGAGACCAAAAGCAGTTTAAATAGCAGAACAAAAACAAATGAAAAGTCATAAATTAACTAAAATTCAAGTTGTAAACCTTTAATTATGTTACATTATAAAATCAGAGAGATAAAATGGTTTTCATTTCCCATTTAAATGCCACCATTCCACCTTTGAGAGACAATTTTATAATTGAGGTATTGCCTCAGAAACACCCTCTGTCGCAAAAAGTGAAATACTATTTAATTAAAAAATGTAAATCATAGAAAATGATACATTTCTGATAACGAAAAGCATTGTGAGGTTACCTGTGGTGTCACTTTAAATATAACGTTGTGCATCTCCCATTACCCACTCAGTGTATCTGCTCTCAAACAGATATTGCAGATTTATAGGTTGTACCCTTAGAAAATATTTGTCAAGCCTGTCTATATTGTGCTATTAATATGTTTATGGAACTTTCTTATATGAAGATGTACTCTTCTACATATACAACATACTGTATAAATATATATATATATATATATATCAATGTTTAAACAATACTTTTTACTATTTATAGGATGTTATATTTAACATGGTAAAAATGTGTATCAAGATGTATTCTAAAACTACAGGTAGTACATAGGTATGCGTCTGCAATGTATTGAGAATTGTAGTGTACATTGCTTCTTGGGATAACTTTATACTGTGACTGTATGTTCTGGCTTTGGTGAATGTACTTGTATTTTTTCAGGTTTAGTACAGATCTATAGTTTATTTTGAGAAAATACAGTGATTTATTCTATACCAACCCCACCTCCTGTTTCCTGGCAATTATTTCTCCTAGGCTCCTTTTGTCCCATTTAAGATTACGTTCCTAACTATCTACTTGTCTGCTGCCTCATCACTAGAATAACTCTCAGCAGATCCTGATTAAAAACAAGAGAATCTTCTTTTCTCATATGGATGGAGGTGGTACTTTCAATCTTTGAACCATTGCATATGCTGTATATTCATTTCTGCTTTAACTTCCACTCCAACATTAGGATAATTTCAGAACAAATTCCAGGACATTAGTAAGTGATCAGTTTCCAAAAAGAAATGTGCCAGTCTTTAAGCTTTCAATTAATCTGTATCTCAACTGAAAAGTTTTCTTTTTCATTCACTGATAGATAATTTGTTCTTCTTTGTGAAAAAAACACATTTTAATATCTTAAATTGATTTAAATAAGATATAGTCAATATAGGCACCATGTTTCTTTATATTTTACTGATTTTATTTCATTATTTCCAGTATTTGTACCCTGCCAGACTCTTCAAAAGACTCCTGTTTACAGCGCAACCAAAAATGATAATAAAATCAAGAGATAATATAAAATCCAATTATGCCACTATAAACTGCATTGTAAATAAAAGAGCAGACAAGAATACATATAAATAAAGGGGCTATTCCTAATGATCTCCCTCATAAGTTATTGTTTTACGAGGATCCTATTTGCAATGACAGGTAGATACAGGCAGCAAAATAATTGGGCTGTTATATATTCATTTTATTGTTTTAATTTTTGATACAATGTAAAATATTTTTACACTTTTATATATTTAATGGACTAATAATAAACTGAAATGTTTTTGAATTAAATATACTTCCTCTTTCCATTAATTAACTTAATTATATTAATATAATTAAAGTGCTATTCTCTGCCAAAGAATCTTAAACTGTCCTTTATGCTCAGCCTTTGTATTCAGTTCTTTATTTAATATTCAGCTTAGAGTTCTAATGGATTTGAAACCTTGCCATTTTTGGAGACTTTTGCTTAACAATTTAAGCAATTTCTACTATGCAGAAGATATTACATTATCTCTCTTCTTTTCCAGTAGATTAAAACTATTTATATATTATTCTGATTTCTTATGGGATTTTGACCTTCAATTTGGCCTAATGAATGCTATTATTACATACTATTAGCTTAGCATTGATTTAAAATTATTAAAAAGGTATGATAACTTTAGAATTACTAATTGAGGCTAAAATTATTTAAAAATAATAATTTGAGGCTATGATATTTTAAAGCTTTAATTAGCTGAAAAATATGATTGATGACACTACTAGAAAAAACATAAGTATTCCTTCACCTTTTAGCATTTTATTGAGTTATAAGATAAAATAAGATACAAAATACAAAAGTAAATAGAAAAGCAATGGGGGGAAGAGGAGGAAAAAGAAAAAGAAGTGTTGACTTTTGACTCCCTCCTTTGCAGTAAAATAAGCCATTAACATCAAACCACAACTTTTTGTTTTTTCATAGTAATATAAACTAGCCATTTCTATAAGGATCTATTAATCTAATCAATAAAATCCAAAATCAAAGTTTCATTCTTTTCCACTTCAAGCACAAAGTTCAGAAGCCATCTCCATGTGGAAACAAAGGTATTTATATTCTTTTCTTTAATCAAAATAGTCAGTCATTTCTGCCAACTCCATCAGCTTTGCAACCATTTGTCCATGGTGGGAATCGAAGTGTCCTTCCATTTTTGTGCGTACAATAACCTTGCTGCTGTCAAAATATATAGTATCAAAGTTCCCATTTTTTTCTCCAAGTCTTTTTTCATTAGGCCCCAAAGGAAACCCCAAAGGTGCCTTTTTTCAAGAGGCAACTGGACTTTTTGGTTTTTCCTTGAAGATGTTTCACTTCTCATCCAAGAAGCTTCTTCAGCTCTACTGGATGGTGAGGAACGGAAGGATTTATATTCCTTGCAGACAGCTAGTCATTTGCATTCTTCTAGTGGATGTTAAGGTCACCTGGAAGTTTATCTGTGACATCAGGGTCACCTGAATGGTGGAAATTGGTGTGGAGCCTTCTTGGAACTGCTGAAAGGACTGTGTTGTAAACTGTAGATAGATGATGTCAAATCCCTCCCCTGTTTTAAGAGATGGCTGTTCAATTTTGACATAAATGGCCTCTTTAACCTCTCTTTCAAACCAGCGATCCTCTCTGTCCAAAATATGGACTTTCTTGTCTTCAAAAGAGTGGCCTGTGTCTTTTAAATGCAGATGGACTGCTAAATGTAGTCCTGATGTGTTTGTTCTCCTATGTTGTGCCATGCACTTATGAAGTGGTTATTTTGTTCCCCCAATGTACAGATCTGCACATGGCTCACTGCATTGTACTGCATATACCACGTTGCTCAGTTTCTGTCTGAGTGTTTTATCCTTGGGTGGACAAGCTTCTACCTTAGCATATTCTTGGGTTTGAACTGTGCATGTATGTTATGTTGGCTGAAGATCCTCCTGAGCTTTTCCGAGGATCATGGTTGCATCTATGTCAAAATTGAACAGCCTTCTCTCAACAGAGGGGGAAGGACACGACATCATCTATCCAATCTACAACACAGTCCTTTCAACAGTTCCAAGAAGGCTCCACATCAATTTGCACTACTCAGGTGACCCTGATGACACAGATAAACCTACAGGTGACCTTATCCATCCGCTAAAAGTGTGCAAATGACCAGTTGTCTGCAAGGAATATAAATCCTTCCATTCCCCACCATCCAGTTAGAGCTGAAGAAGCTTCTTGGATGAGAAGTGAAACATCTTCAAAGAAAAACCAAAAAGTCCAGTTGCCTCCAAGACACCCAAAAGGAAAGTTTCTGGTTTCATCTTTATCTTCATTTTCAGAATTTTCTGTATCAAAATATGAATCATATTCCAAAAATTTTTTGCTTTATCACATGTCCACCATAAATGATAAAAAGTCCCTTCTTTACTTTTACACTTTCAACATTCATTTGACATACCTTTATACATCTTAGATAACTTATCTGGTGTTAGATACCAGCGATACATCATCTTATAAAAGTTTTCTTTTAGATTATAATTTAGGGTAAATTTTAAACCCTTCGTCCACATATTTTCCCATTGTTCAAGCATCACATTATATCCAAAATTTTTTGCCCACGCAGCAAGAATCATGCAGTGTTTTACATGATCACTTTACAAATTCAATTTCAATAACATTTTATAAATCTTAGCAATAATATGTTCATCATTTCCACACAGTAAGATTTCCAATTCATTTTTAACAAAAACAAACCCATAACTCTTTTTTATCCAATTTAAATCTTTCTTTCAGTTGTTGGTAAGTAAACCAATGGCAAACATAACCTTCTGATTCAAGTTCTTCCTTCGGCTTTATTCTGGTTCACCAGAGTTGAAAGATAAAATTTTGCCATAAGTCCACCAGTCTGGCTTCGCCACCATTTCTTTTCTAAAAAAAGCTTTGTGGGATGACACCCAAAGAGACAGCTTTGAGAGAGCCTTATTTTATATTTATTCCAAACTTGCATGTCACATCTAACAAAGTGAATATTAAAATAAACATTAACTTTAATTTTATCAAACCATAGATAGCCGTGCTATCCAAACCTTAATTCATGGCCCTCTAATTCAAGTAACCTCGTGTTCTGGAGGTTCACCCATTCTTTTAACCAGGCCAGACAGCATGCATCAAAATACAGTTTCAACTCTGTAGACCCGAACCCCCTCTTTCCTTAGCATCTTGCAGTAGCTTTTATCTAATTCCTTGTTTTTTCCCTTGCCATATAAACTTAGAAATATCCATCTGCCATTGTTTAAATGGATTATCGGTTGCAAGTATTGGTAATGTCTGGAATAAAAAAAGCATCTTTGGTAAAATATTCATCTTATACTTAATATAAGTATTTCTTAATGCCCCAAAAGAAAATTCATTAGTAAATAAAATGCTATCTTTCAAAATTAAAATCAAATTTTACTGGCCATAGTTTTTGTCTTCAAAATTCAAAATGCACTAGATTTTTGTGTAATTTTCAGCACTACTACTATTTCCATGTTGGAAGCACCGAAGTGTTTCTGTGGTGAATTGATTAGCCATTGGATGCCCAGTTGGGGGTTTTCTTTCATTAATGAGCCTACCGAAGCAGTACCTATGTATCTACCTGCATTTGTGTGCTTTCAAACTGCTAGGTAGGCAGAAGCTGGAGAGAATGACGGGAGCTCACCCAACACACAGCAGCACACGGACTTCGAACATAGGTTTGCAAATTATCAACCCAGCCTCCGAATCACATGAGCTACAGTACTCCTTTGTAGTTGGAGTAAAGAGCTTGCACATGCATGCATGCATGCATGCATATATTTCCCACATTTGGATTATACTTTCTTCACTTTTTTTTTTGTATGAGTTTTGAGTTCATTGCTACATAATAATAATATTTTCAGTACCTTAACTTCAGTGTTTCTCTTCAGTATTTCAGCAATGTTCAGAAATCTAATTCAGAAATATTCAGAAATCTAATTATTCCATAAAATGCAGAAAGAACGTAATGTATCCTATGATTAAAGATCTGAATTCAGCAGATATGTGTTTTTGAACATTTTCTGTTTTTCTATAATTTTGATGCTGGATTTGGTTCATTTTATGGATGGGTTTATTATTTTTGTGCAGGGAGGGTTGATTTGATTCTTAGTTGCTCAGAGCTCTTGGTAAAATGCAAATAAGATGAAAAAATAGTAACCAAGAACATCTTTTTCTGTTATGCAATTGATCGATTTCTGATATCTCCTTATCTAATACATCTGCTGCCTTGGGTTTATTCTTGATTCTTCCTTGTGTTTTGTTATACCCTATTTTGTTCCTGAGAAATAGAAATTAATAAAACATCATTTGGAAAAAGAACTTTTCATTTTCTACCTCAGGAAAATTATAATGTGACACATATCTTGTAGTGATTAAAAAAATTGGTTTAGACACAGGATTCTCAAATCAAGGATAATTGCATAAATATGATAGTAAATAAGGTCAAACCTAATTGTCTTCAATCAGAATAAAGCAAATATTTGTTGATAGAATATTTGATAGAATAGAAATGTAGGAACATTAAGATTGAATAGTGATCTGCTTTCTCTCTCTTCCTATTCTTTGCCACATTATCTTATTTCTACTTTCCATATTGGAATTTACTCCGTAACAAGATCTTCACTGTGAATTATAATCTTGTAGAGAAAATTATATACTTCGGGAAGATCATTGTTTCCAATTCTAACATGCTATGTTTAAAATTCCTATATGTATTTCCATTCTTTGTAGAAAATTTTCATCAATCCACTTCACAAATTTATTACTGTATCTCCAGCTTGCTTTAGAAGTAGACATTACTACACTGGTTAAGCAATACATTTCTCTTTCTGAGTTACTTGTAGTATAAATGATGCAATGCAGGCTGAACATGCATTTGTCCAACAGAGGTGTAAAATTATTTTAGATTCAATTATACATTGTTGTGTTAACTAGTGAGTTCATATGCAGTCTACTTGATTCATGACAGCTATTCACAAATTTAAATTAAAAAGTCTTGAAACAGCAGAGTAATTATACCATAACTGCATTTTGAGCACACAGAAAATGAAAGCATCTAATTCTTTGTATTTATAATATAAAGTATGTCAAAGAAAATACACTATTTTTTAAAAAAGCAATATATTGTGAAGTATGTCAAAGTTAATTCATATGAATATTTTAAGAGTTAAATCTTTTTCAATCTGTGCTGCTCAACAAAAGGCAAATGTTAAATTTCAGATATATTAATAATTAATTTAAAGTTGATTGAACTGATTAGAGCACTTTTGGAATGTTAGTGTTCTCCAAGGATTTTTAAGTTCAGTTCAGTACTGCTGTCAAATTCTCTTTTTCTATTAAGAAAATAGGGAAATTGTATTAGACATGTACCTTCCAGCTGCTCTGTTGAAAAGCTAGGACTCAATCCAAAAATAAAACCTTTCCTGTAAATAACATGGAGGGATATTAGCTAAAATTGAATTGAATTTTTATGAAATTGATTTGCTACATTCAGACTGTTTATTTTACCTTAATGTGTAATTAAATAGATGTCATTAACAATAGTGGATAATATGTCCTGCTCGTATATTAGTTATGTTCCAGAGTGTGGCAAAGGTGGCCTAGTCTATTTACTCTATTACTCAGAGTAAAAGAGTGTAATTTAAAAGTATAAAATGTACAGGAAAAAAAAGAGGGAGCAACAGGAATGCTAGCAATAGAAAATCTTTAGAAGTTCCCCAGAACAAAAATAGTGATAATGATAATAACAACAAACGAACTCAAATACATTGCATCCATTTCAGCATGAATTTATCATGTCTATAGATGTCATGTTTATGAATAGGCACTATGGGCAGTTAAATAGCAATTGATCAATTGTCAATTGCAATTGATCAGGTGTCAATTAACGTCAGATTAATTGTGACGTTAGAATTTTTCTTTGCTTACTAATATTTTTTGTACCGTCTTTTGCCACCAATAGCCTCCCATCGACCAGTTCGTTCTCACAGGGAGGGACTACTCAGGGTACCATCAGTCAAATTATGCCGACTGGCGACTCCCAGGGGGAGGGCCTTCTCTGTGAGGGCTCCAACCCTTTGGAATGAACTGCCCCCGGAGATATGGAATATCCCTGATCTCCGTGTTTTCCGCCGTGCCCTCAAGACCCTGATGTTCCAACAGGTGGGGCTAAACATATGAACATGTGAATGATTTTTTAAATGTTATCTAATTCTGGGTTTTATTTAATTGACCAAACTAAGTAATAATTTTAATTAGCAATTTTATGATGTTTGTGTGTCTATATTTTTCTTGACTGTACACCGCCTTGAGTCCTATGGGAGAAAGGTGGTATAGAAATATAATAAATAAATAAATAAATAAATAAATAATATGTCTTTGGAGCAAGTCCACAAATCATTCCCAACTGAGTCAAAGGATGATGGTACATTTTTGAATTTTATTGCATACCATCAAAAAGTTGGAAGGGTCAATTTGACCGTTGGCTCTAATCCCATGTTCAGTAAATAAATCCAAATTAAAATATCCCAAACATTCCTTTTCTTTCTTTTTTAAAAACAATTCCAACATTTTATTTTCTCTAGTTATTTGGTACTTCATCATTTTCTGGGTATGCTGTAGGATGATATATAAGCCAGACCATCAGCCAGTTCATACACTACTTGACAATTCCATTTATCTGATTCTGAAATTCAAATTCATTCTAAGTAAAGAAGTAGTTCCTGATCATGTTTCTGTCAATCTCAAGCATTAATCCTGTGACTTCATGTTGTTTGTCACAGTTTCATTGTGAAGTGCATACTTTTTTGTTGTTGAAGAATATTGAATTAAACTAGGAGTTGAGTAACACTGCTTTTTTCCTGTTCCCACTTTACTGTTAATACTGATCAGCTATAAAAAATTATTTTTGTTATTCTTAGATCTTTTGCCAAGATCTCAGCTCATTCCCAGTTTTTGCATTTTTGACATCTGTGCTCTTCATTTGTAGTATGGCCTTCTTTTCATTACTTATATATCTCATGCAAACCTACACATCTTCAGTAACATTTTCTGTAACCTCATTCATTTCTTTTGCTGTCCTCTATTTTTTATGCTCTTTGAAATTATTTTCAATTGCCCTTTTGATATATTCAACTTTGGAAATTCCCACCCATGTTGTGTCCCATTTCTATTAGTTTCTTTTGCTCCAGGATCAATCAGAATAGAGCTGGAAGGGATCTTGGAGGTCTTCTAGTCCAACTCCCTGCTCAAGGAGATATAGGAGATCCTATACCATTTTAGACAACTGACTGTCCAATCTCTTCTTAAAAACCTCCAGTGACGAAACACCTACAACTTCTGAAGACCAGCTGTTCCATTAGTTAATTGTCCTCACTATTAAGAAGTTTCTCTTTAATTCTAGCTTCTTTCCTTGAGTAGTTTCCATCCGTTGTTTCTTGCCTTCTGGTGCTTTGGAAAATAAGTTGATCCCCTCTTCTTTGTGGCAGCCAGGGCCAGATTTAGATGAAAAGAGGCCCTAGGCTATTCCACTTATGAGGCCCTTTCACCTATAGTGAAAGTGTAATTTTAATTTTGCTAACAATTTGAATGTAGGCCCCTCTTGATCTTGAGGCCCCCTCTTGATCTTGAGGCCCTAGGCTGAAGCCTAGTTAGCCTATAGGAAAATCCGGCCCTGGTGGCAGCCCCTCAAATACTGGAATACAGGTAGTCCTTGAGTTACAAATGTAATGGAACCTGCCAGTTACATTCTTAACCTGAGGATTCATAGGAGTGAATTGTGTAACTTGACCACGAGCAGTCCCTGTTTTTGCCCATGCACTCACTAATTGAAAGTGCAGGTCATTAAGTGCACATCTGGTATCTCAGGGTGGGGAAGGCCATGGGGGCCTAGTGGAGACTCACTTACCTTTTGAAGATCTAGTGAGCTGGCTCCTCTCCAGCCTGTTTCTTTGCTGCTCCCAGTGAATAGTGAGAGCAGAGGGAGAGGAGGACAAGTGTGCCTCCTCGGCTTCTCTGACTCACCAAGGCTGCCTGCCACTTCTGGAGTGGGGGGCAACCTCGGTGAGTCCCCTCTAAAGGCTTCCAGTCTTGGCACGGAAAAACATTTGCATAGCAACAGGAGACTTTGGGACAGAAAAATTGCATTGCTTCAAGCCTCTCGTTGGCTTGCAAACACTTTCCCTCTGGAGACTGGAAGTTTATGGGCGCCCTGATCTCGTGGGACTTCAGGTACACATTCTCTGCAAAATTCGATGGGTGCCTGGAGTTGCACGAGATCATGGCCCCCAGAAGCTTCCAGTCTCCGTCTGGATGAAAAGTGTTTGAGCACCAATGGGACTCTTTGAGGCAAGATCCCCATTGGATACACAAATGAAGCTTCCAGTCTCTGAGCAAAAAGTGTGAGCACCAATGGGGTGCTTGGAGGCAAGTGCCCCGTCGGACACGCAAACAAAGCTTCTAGTCTCCACCCGGGTGCTTACTTTTCGCCCAGACAAAGACTGGAAGCTTCTGGGTGCCCTGATCTCACACAACTTCAGGCACCCATCCACTTTTGCAGAGAATGGGTGCCTGAAGTCCCGTGAGATCAAGGCACCCAGAAGCTTCCAGGTTCTGGGGGAAAAGTATTAGGCTGATTGATCTGTAGCTTCCTGGGACTGGTTTCCCCTCCCTCCTTTTTTGAAGATGGGAACCACATCAGCTCTTTTCCAATCCTCAGGTAGTTGCCCAGTGCTCCAGGATTTGTTAAAGCTATGGTTCTGAGATAACATCTACCAGCTCCTTCAGAACTCTGAGATGTAATCCATCAGGTCCTGGTGATTTATATTCATCAAGATCAGACAGGTGTTCTCTTACTATTTTTTTTGCATATTTTAACTTTTATTTCTAATCTGTCTTTTACAGTTATGTTTTCGGTAGATTGGGCTATAGTTTCTTTTTTTGTTGTTATTTATATGTTGGAAGAATTTTTTTACTTATCTTTTAGTTAGACTTTTGTTGCAATTCTTTGTTCATTCTGAGCCTTTGCTTTCCTGACTTCATCTTCATCTGCGTTGTTATTGGTAGATTATCTATACATACTCATTAGTTTGGAGACCAATAATATAAACAGTTATAACTGTTTCTTCTTATGCTTATTTATAGAATAGCATTCTGATTTCTGAACAAGACTGTATATTTTTAACATGTAGTGCAATTCCATCTGCTTTCCACTGGTTTTGTCCCTTTTGAACAATTTGTATCCTTCAGTTACTCTATTTCAGTCGTAGGAGTCATACTCCCAGAGCTCCGTTATATATATTAAATCAAATTTGCCCTTCTGTATGAAGAGTCCAAGCGTATCTTGTTTCCTGTGCTGTGAATATCAATGCATAGATAATGAAGGCCATGAACTTTATGAGCCAATGGTCTTTCATATTCTTCTCTGAGTGATCTAAGGGATTCCATTTAAGAACATTCCCCTTTCTACAATACAGAAATCTTTCTCTAAGGTCCTTTATATTAGGGTGTTCATTTCCATCTATTACAGAATTAAGTTTAAATTAATTAATTAATCAATTTAATTAAGATAAAACTTCCTACGCTTTGGCAAAATTTACTTTTAACAGTTATTCCATTCCAGTTTATGACATCTTCTAGATTAGGCCAACAATGGAGCCATGCAATTGAGTGAAACCCCATCTGTGGAATATAGGCAGCACGTGAAACCATGCCCCTCTAGTCCGCGGAAAAACTTTTCTCAACGGAACCAGTCCCTGGTGCACAAAAGGTTGGGGGGCTCTGATCTAGATAATCTAGACAATGGTTTGAAAATCACTTTTCATCTACTTATCTGATTGCCTAGACTATCAGTAATTTACAATATTTTTCCCTTTTCAATTGCATTCCATAGACAGCCTTCCATGGACTGAAAAATTAGATTATCTATGATCCCAGGGTCTGCATAGTCTATATTTTTCAAAGACTGGGGTGATACAGTTGTAGAAGTTCTTTGGATATAATTTGTCTTCACCTACTATATATCAGTTGGAAGGGATCATTGTCAAATCCACTTGGATGTTGTTCTCTCATGTCTTTGATCCTTCACAGGCTTCTGGATCCAAGTGGCATATATTTGCTTCAATATTTTAATCTAGTCACCAAAAACAATCCCTTCTGTCCTTTAGAGTCCATCATTTAATCTCCCATAATGTAATATTTTCTTGTTTTGCAAGTCTCTGCCCGTTTATTCTGTAGGGGCCTAAAACCTGCTTCTGAATTCCAATTTCAAATTGTGCAAGTTGAGCCGCGTACGTCGGCTCGCCGCTCATGTAAATTGAGCTGCAGGGAGGCACACATGCACACCAGTTGTGCCACTTGTGCAGCCAGGTTATCTTCTTCCTCCCTGCCGGGCAGCCAAGCCACAAAGGTTTGGGACCGCTGTTCTAAGAAATAAAAACAGGAATTAAAAAATCTAGTTTGTAAAAGGAGAGTATTGAATATAATTGCATTTTGACCCATTTTAAAATATTAGTATGTTTAAAACCCTGCTGTTAATATATATTATTAGAGTAACTTGAAATAGAAGGGTTGGTCAAAACAGAAGTATTTCATAATGAAAAATAGGAAGTCCCATTTAGTGAAAGTCTCATTGGAGACTCAAATGCATATTACTTGGCTCTTAAAACTGATTCAGAATTCTGATTAACCATCAATCCTGCAGATAAAAGATAGCAAAAAGTATTAAAATGTGATAATCACATAGATATAGAAAACATTCATTTTTGCATAAAGTATAGTATATTTATATTAATATAGACTATTCCTACTTTACTTTATGCTATAGATAGGATAGCACAGTGACACAGTATATGTTTTGTGTGCAGAAAGCCCTGGCCCTTATGTTTCTTAAGGATCTCAAACAGGAGGTTTTGGAAATAAGCCTAGTCTAACCATTGGCAGATGGTGTCCCTTTTTTAAAAATACAAATTCCAACTGGATAGTAAGATTAATGTTATGTCAACACTGGTGATGAGAGAGTGTTTTCCCATCACTGAAGCAGAATGCTACTTGAGAAGCATAAATCATGAAAACGAGTTCATGAAGGCTATGATTTTTATCCCCAAATTCTGCTGCCTGGGGCAATTGCCATCCTTCCAGCTAATATTGGGACAAATTTTATTGGAAAGTGCCTTTCCCCAGACCTTGCACAGCTGGGAATGGTCAGAATAGGTTGGCATCCATACTTGTTATCTCCAAATAATCCAGCTCCTCCTGCCAACACATGTAGAGCCACACATTTGGAGGCCACCTGGTCAAAAACAAGCTAGGATAAGCAAAAAGGAATTATACACCCTACCTTGGTATGTTTGGTATTTTTTTTCTTACCTGCCTTCATAAATAGCAACATTACCCCATTAGTGCTTCCTTTTTTTGTATAAGAGAGGTTTATGAGCATTTAAAAAAGGACTAAACTCCTAAAGCAACCTTTTTAGTATTATCTCAGTGTTTCCATGCTTTCAAGTTGATAAAAGAGCTGTATGCAGATTGTTTTTGCTGAAGGCAAAGGAATGTTTCATCATAAAGGAGCGTGGCCCCTCAAAATTGGAGATTTCCCCTGATGTACTATTACCATAGCCAATCCAGTGGGTCAAGCCTCCAGAGAAAGGAGAGCATTGTTTAATGAAGTTTTGTACCAAAAAGTAACATGATTATTTATTGAGTTCTGACAAAACAGAAATAGTTTTTAAAGGTGCTTTGATATGGCAGAGATTTTTTTCTTTTCTATTCATTTTTCAAACAGAAGACAAGCTTAACATCCAATTATTGTAAAATCTTCAGACTTGCATACTTTTTTTCAGTGGCCCTTTTATTTATGATGTTGGCTGCAATAAAAATACTCTAGTGAAGTCTCCTTTTCAAATGAAGGAATACAAAGGAAACTATGGTTAATGCACATAATATTTTTCTTTCTTGAATGATTACTCCACCAATGATTTTAATATCTGACATTAACAGAAAAAAATCAGAAAATCATGATCGGAGAATCATGATTTTTTGATGTTTTCTGTTAAAGTAATGTCAGAAATTGAAATCATTGGAGAAATAATCATTCAAGAGAGAAAAATACTATGTGCATTAACCATAGTTTCCTTTGTATTTCTTAATTTGAAAAGGAGATTTCATAGAGTTTTATTCCAGCCAACATCGTAAATAAAAGTTAACAAAGCACATTTTAAAATTACCCCAATCCTTCACAATAGTTTTCTTTTGAATTGTTTAGTTATTCTCTTTTTAGAATTATTTCCATGTACTTACTAGAAACTAATAGTGCTTGAGAATTGTGTAATATATGAGAACTTTTGTTAATACTTAAGATTGCTTTTCTTTAGCAATTATCAATTTATACTATTTGTTAACTAATATTTTGTGTTTTTTGACACTTTGTAAATAATAGGTCATTATAAATTTTATAAATTAGAGATTTGCTCATAATAGATTTGGTGGAGAATACCAGATTTCAACACAAGAGGGCATACTCAAATAGAAATATTAGATAATCTCAGCAGGCCTTTGTCTAGCTAAATACTTTGACCATTTCCTTCCTGACAATTGAGGAAATTGTTTTTCTTATTGGTGTCGGATTCAATTTCAGGTTTATCTATTTGCTTTAGAATACACATTATTAATAACTGCCATGTTGCTATTTGCATGTTAAAAATGCTTTTTGTGCATAAAGGCTATATCAATAGATTTGTGCCATTATGAATCTCATTTTGTTCATCTAAATTTGATTTTGTCTTTTTTCATATATCTTATTTTTACAGGTAACTCGATAGCAGAAAACAAACCACTTCAAACTCAAGATTGATAACATTCATTACAAAGAAGCTGGAAGTTTTCGTAGTTAAAGATGATCTTTGAGGTTTAGGTTAAAATTGCTGGTACAAACTGGTTCAGTGAGCTATATGCTATAATCAACAGCTACTGGAGATCAATAGTGCAAGAAAGTCAGACATACAAACTCTCTAAAATAAAGATTTCAATGGAAAGAACTGTATAATTGTAAACACAAGAAGAAAATACATGCACTTTTTGGCAAAAAAAAGTGAAAAGGATGCTAAAAGGATGCTGAAAAAGTAGTAGTCTTTTTGATCCTGGCCTTGGACTCAAAATATTTAACATCAACAAACTAATTCTTTGAAATGTACTGGTATAGCTTATTTGAAATATTTCCAGTTCTCTGTTCAAATACTGGTGGAACTGTGCATTGGTTTATTCAAATTACTATTCCAAAAATTAACTTCGGATACAGCGCCGCCTTAGACACTTTAATTTGAATTCTAATCTTGAAACTCCAAGGCTATATATTTCAACACACTGAACTTGCTTTTCTTATAGGAATGTAAATGTAATATCATTGTTAATTATTATTGTTGACAGATAGTACTTATCTGGACACATCATTCTTATACTAATAAATCATTAGTCAGATGTCATTTCCTACTCGGCTTCTGCAGTTCCTTACAACTGAATAAAAGATTGGTCAAAAATGAAAATTTTCTTTCATACCCTTCCCAATATTTTATTGTTAAAATATCTGTTTTGTATAATTTTAAAGAAAACAATATTCCTTGTATGAACTTTAATTTACGGATTTATAAACATTAAGTCCTTAAGAAATGGTAGTAAATAATAATTAACAATAATTAATTAGCTAGTCATTTTATGAAGGAAGACAGGGATGCATGTTAAATTTTGTTCTGAAATTAGATGCTATCCATTCGATTTTAAGATTTCTTTTTTTAAAAAAAAATAGATGTCTTGTTTGGATGCTGCCTGGATGCATAAGTAGATGCTTAGATGTTTATTGAGAGGATTTTTTTTTTTCAAATTTAGAAACTATTGATGTTTTCATGCCTACTTCAGAAATGTTAGTTTAATTTAGGGCTGGTTTGTTGAATTGTTTTTTATCTTCTATTTTTTAATTTCACTGTTTTTTTAAAAAAAAAATTAAATGCCTTAAACAGCAGTAAACTTTTTTCCCCTGAGTTATTATAGAATGTATAATTTTATATGTCATTTAATATATAACATGCTATCTAGAAATACTGAGGCTCTAAGGGCAGCTTGGTCTTAAGGAAGGCAAAGAGGGAAATAATCTATATTATTTACTTTGTGAGTAAGAACATGGAACAAATTCAATCCTGATAGAAATAACTGTTTCAAAATCTCCATTGTTTAAATTATGAAAAAGGTAAATAGTTTTCATTGCAAATCCCTGACATAAATAATTAGAAATAAATGAGTTATATGACGAATGAACATCTTTGGGTACTGTGTTCTTTCACTTGATGCAAAATTGTTGCACAATTATTTCATATCTGTGTTATTATTGTTTAGACTTCTATACCGCTTCATAGTGCTTTACAGCCCTCTCTAAGCGGTTTACAAAGTTTACAGAGTTAGCATATAGCATATTGCATATTAGCATATTGCATTAGCATTAGCATATTGCCCCAACAATCTGGGTCCTCATTTTACCCACCTCGAAAGGATGGAAAGCTGAGTCAACCTTGAGCCGGTGAAATTTGATCTGCTGACCTGCTGAACTAGCAGTCAGCTGGAGTAGCTGCAGTACTGCACTCTAACCACTGCGCCACCTTGATTATGTTTGACACTGGATGGTGGAATATATAGAATGTAATTCTGCTACCTATCAATCCAAAATATATTTAGGGGGAATTGGATATAGAATAAGGTATCTTGGTATTGTAAAGGGATTAATATGGTATATTTTTAAAAGTTATATATAAGGGGAGGTCATGTGAAAAGTATGATAAATTGTTATTTTGTAGTAGACTTAAGATGGGCTTCAATTTAGTCAAAATTCTATAATATAGTTTTCAGCATTTAGTTCCTTTGTGATTAGTTTTAAAACCAACACTAAAATATTGTGCTATAAAAAGTGTAAGATTTGCATATCAATAAGTGAAAATAAATGGATTTTCAAATAAGAAACTGAGTGTGCAATAGGTTACTGTGAAAATTGATAATAATGGAATAACTTTAAGACATGAAAAGAACATGGAAACATTTTGATTAGTTCAGAACAAATCAGATCAGAACTGCTAAGGCTCATTCTAAACATTTTTAGGACCCTTTACAATTAAAAATATAATTTAAAAACATTTTACTGATTTTTAATGCAATACAAAAATTAAGAACAAAAATTTTAAATTTAATTTTAAACTATTAAAATTTGTTTAAAATTAAAGTAAATTATTTACTTGCAGAACTAATAAAAATGAAATACAATGATACAATAAAATTAAGTTGTAGTTTTCATCAGTTCTATAATATTATAGAAATATGTTTGTTTGTTTGTTTGTTTATTATCCCATCTCCCTCAAGGCATAGAAAGCATTATAATTCAACTTTTAAATAATCAGTTAAACCAATTTTGTAGTCCAATCTTATCTCTCCATTAATAAATAAAAGTAGTTCAAAATCTAAGAATTGACAAATTATGTTAAATCAGCCTTTAGTGTCTCATACATACACATACTTTCAAGATTATGTAATTAGCTTTTTCTCAACAACCTGGTATATGATATATTTGGAATATTTCATAAACAGACAACTTATTGAATGTTATTTAACATTATCTTTTAAACTTAATTTTCTTCCAAGAGCCTCATTCACCACATTTAAAATATATTATCAGTAAGGAATATTTATATCAGTGGACATGACCAAGTTTCTTTAAATTGTTACATCTCCAACATAAAAAAAGATAATAGCCAATCTTTTTTAAGGTCTACTGAAAAATTAATTGACCAGTGGATAATAATTATAATGTTATTAACATTCGTAAATATACATGCTTTTTTAGAATATTTGGTTCTATTTTTGGGTTTGAGAAATGTCAGATAAAATATAAAAGTTCTATGCAAAATGTTTTTAGTAGGTGAAAAATAATTGAGTATCTAAGTACTGCAATTTCCCAAACTACAAAAAATAAATTTCTATATGAGTTCTCTCATTTTTTGAATACTTTTTTGCCAACCCAGTTCCAAATTCTTTTATTATCTGAAATTAGATGTCACTTGAAAATACGGTTTTTTTCCTCTCAGTCTCAGAACTTTAACAGTGATTTTTGAGATTTTTTCAGGTTCAACCATTCATTTATGTCATTAGAACTGAGTTAAATGTTTAATCTTGAAAACGTTTGGCTTCTGTGTCAATCTAAATTCCAAATATGCTATTTAAATTATTTCATACAATGTGGCATATAATGTTGTAATTCAATTTAATATAAGATGACTTCAATTTATGGTGCAATGATAACCATTGCACCATAATACAATGGTGCAATGCATTACACCATATAATCCTAATCAGTCATTAGGCTAATTTAGATTTTTAATGAATTATGACTTTCACTATATGAGTTTAGTCACCATTACCTGGCTTTCCAGCAGCAAGAGGAGCCAAACAAACTGTGCAAAATTTTCCCGTGTGCCTTTTTAAAGGATGAAATGCAGATTAAAATTTCTGGTTTGTCTCTCTTAAATAAACCAGGGATTAGAATCAAAATAAAACATGAGTTCCAATTCTGGCATTTTAGATGAGGATCTTACCAGATATTTGTGGTTTCACCTTTGCTTCATCCAGCATATGACATAAATACATTCACTAATCTATTTATCTAAGGGAGAAAAAGTAGAAAAACTGAGTGGCATGTATAATTCTTCCAATGCAGACTTTCTGCCAATAATGTAGTACTTATAGAGCATTCAGTTTCCATGCTTGGAGCATAATGCCAATAGTTCCTAAGAGAAAATATAAACTGGATTTATGAAAAAGTCAAGACTCTTATTTTACATATTAATATTTCCCCTGTCTCTTAATTAGCCTAGAATCTCTTGAATTCACTCCATATTTCCTTTACTCCTCTTTTGTGGGTGTCACCAGGACTTAATCGATTTTGATGACATCACAGAGCAAGCTCAATTATCTAGTTCCGTAAAATCAGAAATGAAAGGGTTCTAAGGAGGTTCTACTGGTTCTCAGCTTCTGTTACTTAAGTTTGTTGTTTTTATTTTGTTTGGATTATTTCCTTGAAAATAAATTATTAGATCTATAAAAATCTCTCCTACAGTGCATTGGCTATAGAATACTAGATTATCTAAGTGGAAGAAATAGCCAGATTTGACCACACTTGATGGTCTCTAAATCCTTTCTGACATGTAAATATTTATTGTTGTCATCTCTTCCTGCTGATGGGATATTTATTTATTTATTTATTTATTTATTTATTTATTTATTTATTTATTTATTTATTATATTTCTATACCACCTTTCTCCCGTAGGACTCAAGGCAGTGTACAGTCAAGAAAAATATAGATACACAAACATCATAAAATTGCTAATTAAAATTATTACTTAGTTTGGTCAATTAAATAAAACCCAGAATTAGATAACATTATAAAAAATCATTCACATGTTCATATGTTTAGCCCCGCCTGTTGGAACATCAGGGTCTTGAGGGGACGGCGGAAAGCACTGAGATCAGGGATATTTCGTATCTCAGGGGGCAGTTCATTCCAAAGGGTTGGAGCCCTCACAGAGAAGGCCCTCCCCCTGGGAGTCGCCAGTCGGCATAATTTGACTGATGGTACCCTGAGTAGTCCCTCCCTGTGAGAACAAACTGGTCAGTGGGAGGCTATTGGTGGCAAAAGACGGTCTCGTAGGTACCCAGGTCCTAAGCCATGGAGCGCTTTAAAGGTGATAACTAACACCTTGAATCGCACCCGGAAGACCACCGGGAGCCAGTGCAGCTCGCGTAGGAGAGGTGTTACATGGATGTAACAAGCTGCGCCCATAATCACCCGCGCGGCTACGTTCTGGACCAGTTGGAGCCTCCAGGTGCTTTTCAAGGGGAGCCCCATGTAGAGAGCATTACAGTAGTCCATACGGGAGGTAACTAGGGCATGAGTGACTGTGCGCAAGGCGTCCCAATCCAGAAAGGGATGCAACTGGCAGATCAGGTGAACCTGATAAAAGGCACCCCTGGCCACGGCCGTCAAATGATCTTCTAAAGATAGCCGTGAACTTGGAGGACACCCAAGTTGCGGGCCCTCTCTGTGGGGAGCAAGATCTCATCCCCTATTGTCAGTGATGGTACCAGCTGACTATACCAGGACGCTGGAAGCCACAGCCACTCGGTCTTGGAGGGGTTGAGTCTGAGCTTGTTTCTCCCCATCCAGATCCGCACGGCCTCCAGGCAACGGGACATCACAGCAAGGGCGTCATTGGGGTGGTCTGGGATGGAGATGGATAGCTGTGTGTCATCAGCATACTGATGAACACTCACCCCGAAACCACGGATGATCTCGCCTAGCGGTTTTACATAAATGTTGAACAGAAGGGGTGAGAGGACTGACCCTTGCGGCACCCAACAAATAAGGTGCCTCGAGGTCGACCTCTGCCCCCCTGCCAACACAAACTGCGAACGGTCAGAGAGGAAGGAGGAGAACCAACGAAGCATGGTGCCCCTATTCCTAACCCCTCCAGCCGGTGTAGTAAGATACCATGGTCGATGGTATCAAAAGCCGCTGAGAGATCTAATAGGACCAGGACAGAGGAGCAACCTCTGTCCCGAGCCCTCCAGAGATCATCCACCAGCGCGACCAATGCCGTTTCCGTGCTGTATCGTGACCTGAAGCCCGACTGGAATGGATCCAGATAGACAACTTCATCCAGGTATCAGGGTAGTTGTCGCGCCACCACACTCTCAACAACCTTAGCAACAAAGCGAAGATTGGAGACTGGACGATAATTTGATAATATAGCCAGGTCCAGGGAAGGCTTCTTGAGGAGGGGCTTCACAACCGCCTCTTTCAAGGCGGCGGGAAAGACACCCTCACTCAGAGAAGCATTTATAATCCCCTGGAGCCAGCCTCGTGTAACCTCCCGGGAGGCCAGTACCAACCAGGAGGGACACGGGTCCAATAAACATGTGGCAGCGTTAAGCTTGCCCAGAATCCTGTCCACGTCCTCAGGAGTCGCAGACTCAAACTCTTCCCAGATAACGCTCTCAAGACCTGCCCCCATCTCCTCCCCTGGATCTACCCAATTGGAGTCCAGGCCTTCCTGAATCTGAGCGACTTTATCATGCAGGAATTGTACAAAATCCTCAGCTCGACCCTTTAAGGGATCTTCCCGTACCCCCACCTGAAGTAGGGAGCGGGTTACCCTAAACAGCGCGGCTGGGCGGTTCTCTGCAGATGCAATAAGAGCGGAAAAATAGCTAGACTTCG